CATAGACAACATCCAGAGAGGGACGAAAAGCATACTCAACATCAATAGATGGACGAACAACATAGACAACATCAACAGATGGACGAACAGCATAGACAACATCAATAGATGGACGAACATTATAGACAACTTTAAGAGATGGACGAACATTATAGACCACTTAAAGAGATGGACGAACAGCATAGACAACATCAATAGATGGACGAACAGCATAGACAATACCAAGAGATGGACGAACAGTATAGACAACATCAAGAGATGAACGAACAGCATAGACAATACCAAGAGATGGACGAACAGCATAGACAACACCAAGAGAGGGACGAACAGCATAGACAACAAAAGATTGGGACGAACAGCAATCTGAAAGCGTGTACACATCCAAGTGCTGTAAATCTAACTGCAGCTAACCGTAAGTGTGTAGACGGCACCTTGATTTTTCTTCATCTTCAGTGATTTGAGCGTGAAGGATATTTCCGACATGCCTATAGCGGTTGGCCGATTGGTAAAGAATAGTGGTCTCTCACACGGAGGATCCAGGCTTGAATTCTCTGTAAGAGCATGAAGGGCATGACATTCTTTTGTCGGGGCTGGGCGGAAAAAGGAGGGGATGGGGGGGGGGGGGGCAAGTAAAATCTTAAACTGCACAGTCCGTGGCGACATCACTAGCCATGCGACTCAAAATCCTCAGACTCAGAGACTCCAGCACCCCCTTCTCCCCCTTCCGCCTAGCAAAAGTGTTAAATCTGTACAGTAGTCACATATATTATGTATACTTGTTGGTAATATCGTTGTTCTTATGTTTCACATGCTGATGAAGGCTTTCTAGCTGCAACGTTAATTTTGCCATTAGGGATTTATTTTTACAGTGTTGAATAGTTCTATACTTCTCATCTAGACTAAGATGCTTTAAATATTCTAGGCATTATTCTGCGCCATTCAATTTGTAAACTCCTAATTTCTTCTTATTCTTTGTTCACCAGCTGTAAGCTCCACCTAAAAAATCATGGTTGTTCGTCCATCTCGACTTTGGCCTTGTGACAGGGCCTGGGTTTTGCATGTCCGTCCCTTTTACTGGCTTATTTGTATGCGGCTGGTTGCTCCTGGCCTCTCGGGCTGATATACTCCGACTTCTAGGGAAGCTCCCAATTAGTCGATATTCTCGTTTTCCCCACAGTGGATGCCCTGGACCTACAAGATGAAAGTAAGTGAAGGTCTCTTTTCCACGCCTTTGGGAGTTTGGGGATGTAGGGCTAGACCTATATTTTTATAGACCAATCGGCATTTGCAAGGCGATATGGTTAGCATCACACCGGCCGCCTTTACTTCCCAGGACTAAACCTAACACCCACTCAACGTTGGGTCAACCTGGGAGTCAAGGTCATTTTTTATGCCCGGCTCTGTCAGGTCACGAACCCACGACCTTTCGATCGGCAGGCGGGCGTCTAGCAGCCAATGCCATGGCGTCTTCGAACAAGTGGAAAATACTTTAATGTTAAATTTGAATAAAACAACAAGGCAGAGCCTAGCAGTAATGAGTTTATTGATATATACACAAAGCAGTGAGCATATGCAACAATGGGAAGTGCCCTTTTTGCTAAGTAAACAACAGCAAGCAAAAGGGACGATTACTAGAAGTCAAACAAAGTAAAACTATTCTTTTCTATGGTAGCAGTGGAAACGTAGTGGTTAATTCACCTTCCTGCCTAGAGGTCTGGGGTTCAGATTCCTATTGCCTCGTTTTGGGTTCTGTGGCCCTTTGTGGTGGTAGTGTGTGTGGGGGTTGGGGGGGGGGTAATAGACACAGTGCCCCCCTAACAAGCATGTCGTAACAGGCGACTACTTAGAGGTGTTTCCTTCGAAGTAGAAGGGCCTCTGCCTGAGAGTCGAGGACCCACTTGTCTGTATAAAATAAGTCAGATCTGTCAAACGGATGTGCATTTAAAACTCAAGTTCTGGACTAAGACCAGAATCTAGAAGTGGAGAAACAGCTAGAACTTTCCGCCGAATTTTACATCATGTGAACGCGAAGAAAAAGAAGAAGAAGAAGAAGAAGAAGAAGAAGAAGAAGAAAAATGAAGAAGAAGAAGAAGAAAAATGAAGAAGAAAAAGAAGAAGAAGAAGAAGAAGAAGAAGAAGAAGAAGAAGAAGAAGAAGAAGAAGAAGAAGAAGAAGAAGAAGAAGAAGAAGAAGAAGAAGAAGAAGAAGAAGAAGAAGAAGAAGAAGAAGAAGAAGAAGAAGAAGAAGAAGAAAAAAATTTGTTTCGTAGCGGAATTACCCCCCCCCCCTTTTTTTTTTTTTTTAAAACAGCTATTGGTTGCAAAATCTAAACAACATAAAATGTGTATAAGGAAATTTCCTGGGAAGTAGAAGCGGTCAGCGACTGACTACATCACTCACTGAGTGCCTAGCATCGTATGCCCATTGTTTCACTTGCCTTAAATAAGTCATTTTAACCTTTTTCATGATGTGGTCCGTACTGGCTATTATGGCAGTAACCTTTAATTTTGTAACTTTTTTTTTTTAATGGACCTAACTGAAGGTGATTACTGATTGGTCAATATCATACCGCCCGCAATTACTTCTGACAATATTTTCTGGTACTCATTTCAGTCTGGGTGTAACTTGATGCCTGGGTTAATTTAATTTAAAAAAATTCGAACATATGACAACCGAGACGATACACACATGGGTTAACCATTGCCTTACTGCATGTTCCTAAAATACTGGTACAGTAGTGCACATTAGGGAACAATTACAACATACTGTAAAGTAAGATCAGTACATAACTACATAAACAAATAACATTCACTTCTCTCTTACTTGTAACAGTGGCAAACCTCTGCAATAAGTAACAGAATCATCATTTTTTCTATATTTCACAAGTCATGTGTATTTAATTCGTAACAGCAAGATTGTTTTATCTGTAGCTTGTGACATGTTGAAACTGTAACTCATTACAACAACACTGGTTTATCTGAATTTCGTAACAGCAAGATTGTTTTATCTGTAGCTTGTGACATGTTGAAACTGTAACTCATTACAACAACACTGGTTTATCTGAATTTCGTAACAGCAAGATTGTTTTATCTGTAGCTTGTGACATGTTGAAACTGTAACTCATAACAACAACACTGGTTTATCTGAATTTCGTAACAGCAAGATTGTTTTATCTGTAGCTTGTGACATGTTGAAACTGTAACTCACAACAACAACACTGGTTTATCTGAATTTCGTAACAGCAAGATTGTTTTATCTGTAGCTTGTGACATGTTGAAACTGTAACTCACAACAACAACACTGGTTTATCTGAATTTCGTAACAGCAAGATTGTTTTATCTGTAGCTTGTGACATGTTGAAACTGTAACTCACAACAACAACACTGGTTTATCTGAATTTCGTAATAGCAAGATTGTTTTATCTGTAGCTTGTGACATGTTGAAACTGTAACTCACAACAACAACACTGGTTTATCTGAATTTCGTAATAGCAAGAGCGCAGCAAACGTGTTATACATGCAAAAGAGAAATCATTCTCTCAGCAGTTCAAGAGCTACAACACTGTACTTTCAACAGGACGGAACTCCGCACGGAACATGCCTGTACCACCTTTCTTAGCATTCTTTATGAGTCCGTTACAATCCCGACGTGTGTGTGTGCTGCTGGTTTTCCAACCATCGGGCAGCTGCTTTGACTGCCTCCACCTCAATTCTCAAATTATATTTTATAATATGATAGCTACACTTTGTTGCACTAAACAGTGCCCGTTCGCATTTGCAATGAATCCCGACGCATTTCTTTTACCTTTCAACACAGAGCCATGTTACAGATATTTAGTCCAGCTTCTAAATTGTTACATTGTCTTTTTTCTCCCCCATCTTCATTTTCCGTATCTATAAGTGTCAATCAAAACATATCTCGTGGTCTCCTCGGCGAGGTGGCTTAACTTGCGTTCTGATGGTAAAATAATCCACCTCAAACAACGTCAAATGGTTCACGAGTGCACATTGTGGTAAATGCCTTAAGAATCCCCACTAGCGCTGTGATGATTTCGACAGGCGGCTAGCCTCGATGCGTTGAGAAACTGAGCATATGGGATGAAAACCGACTAAATTAAATCGACTGTCTAAAAAAATTAAAATCGAGAGGATCGACTTCATTGCCCGGGAGTTTATCCAGGATGCTTTCGTTTCTCTCTGCAAAAGAACTAACCTCCTGCCGAGAATGTAACACATAGCATGAACTCCACAGCTCCAGTCAAGATCCCTTGGATTTAAGTAAAAAGGTCACTAATGAACTAAACGTTGGCAAATGGTTTGACCACCTCGCCATCGAGGGATCCGCTACGTCTGTTAAACTTAAAAAATAAATAAATATATGTATCATTTTTAAGCAGTCATAAAAGAAAAACTACTATTTGGGGGGGGGGGGGGGGGGGGGAACCGCCTAGGTGTAGTGGCTAGACCAACCCCCCCCCCCCCCTTTTTTTTCCCCTACGGATCCCGCGGTTGCGAGTTGAAATCCAAATGGAGCCAGCCTTTTTTCTTAAAAAAAAATGACATGGCTCCCAGACTGACATAGCATTAACTGGGTACGAGGTAAATCTCTGGGAAGTAAAGGCTAACGGCGAATTTAGGATCACATCATTGACCGAGTACCGACTGGTCTATAAAATATCGGTCTATCACTATTTGTCCGTCGGCGTCTGTGGCTTAGGCGTTGCGAACGCACTTTGTAATGCTGGGGTGCTGTGTTCGATTCCATCTGCAGGCAATTTGGCAGCAGACCGCCTTGCGTTGGTGTCGACAGTGGTATCGAGAGCCGACAGTCCGGTTAGCAATGGCAAACTACTGAACGTTAAATTTTCATAGAATAAGCACAAAAGCTAAAAAATGCTGGTTTTGGTTCTTCAACGCCCTGTAAAGGATACGCAACTATATGCGTAGTACACCTGAAGGTGTGACAAAAGTTGGTGTCTCGTTGGTGTCCTTCGCTGGTCATCACTTGTCTGGAGATCCAGGGAGATCTGTGCCAGCTGCAACTATGGCCTCAGAGTGTTCCCTGGCACGACGTCTCAGTACGGCAACACTGCTGGTTCGATGCTCGTTCAGCAGTGGGAATGCCGTAGCGCTGTTGGGATTGCTGCTGCTGCTACTGTCATTGCTGCTGCCAGTCGTTCGTGGCGGGCAACATAAACAGAAGGAATGGCAACCTGGAAACAAAAATAACCCGATATTAATACTCGAATACAAACATTTAAGATAAGGATATGCTGTAGGGCAGTGTTTCCTAAAATTTTCTTAGTCGCTGCGCCCTTTTTCAATACAAAATTTTCCTCGGCGCCTTAACCTAAGTAAACGTATGTAAGACATACAAAAAAAAAAAAAAAAACCACTTGTGTATCATTAAATATTTAGTGGCGCCCCTGTGAAGAGGTCGCGGCCGGGGGCGCAGCGGCGCACAGTTTGGGAATCACTGTTATAGGGTAATTTCGGATTATGGAGATCCAAAAATATGTCATGCAAAACTAAGATTCGATTTGTCAGAGCACTAGCTATTAGTACATTTACATATGGCTGTAAAACGTGGACCTTAACAGCTGAACTTGAAAGGAAGATACACGCATTATAAATGCGATGTTTCAGAAAATTATTGGCATATCATACAGAGACCACATTACAAACGAAGAGAGTCGCCATATAATTATACAGCACACTGGCAACTTTGAACCTCTTCTAACTACAGTGACAATTCGACAAATGCAATGGTATAGACATGTAATTAGATCTAACGGCCTCCTAAACAAACAGTACTGCAGGGCTCAGTAGAGGGAAAGGGGAGAAGAGACAGACCAAGAAAGACCTGGTTACAGAACCTGACTGACTGGACAGGCCTCAGACATGCAACCATGAAGTCCATAGCAACTGACCGGCAACGGTGCAGAGAGCTGATCAGTCATCAGAAATTAGCGACCCAATGTAGTGTTACAGAATGATGATGGATATGGGCAGTTATTATTCAAATAGCGACCAGACTGTATGGATCATTGGAGGACGTGTGTCACATGCGGTGCCATTGATTATAATAGACATGTAATAACATTCTATACGTATATATAACAGTTCAACTTTAAGCATATAATGATTTATACTTTTGACGTGGCGCGGTGATTTATGTCACAGGCGTGAGGGGAAGTTAAGTCCAACATGATGTGTATAAGGAGATACTCCGTACGTCACTCGGGCGCCAGTCCTTTACTATCCTGATTGTACGGAACCTCACGCAAGACCCCTACAGCACGTCCTCGTCGTGCGCCACGGATAATGTCTCAAATGAGCATTAACAGAGCTGTCAGGGGATCTCGGAGTTTGGCGGCCCCCAGAGGTGATGAGTCCTTGTGGCTCTCATCAGCCCGCCCCCAAACGCTTGGGTGAAAATGTTATCAAAACTCATTAGGAACATGAGTAGGTTCGACAAAAGTACAGCTAAAATCACAACCCTTGGTTAAAAGACTGCTGAGTAAAGAGAACATTGCTCAATGCTCATCCTCGGTTAATTCTCAGTGTCGTCGCCACCGCGCTGAGGTGCACCACAACAGAAACCATACATGGGCTGGCCATCCTTGTGCATCCTCGGTTGGCCCTCAGTGTCGTCGTCACCGCGCTGATGTGCACCACAACAGCAACCATCCATAGGCTGGCCAGTCATGTACATCCTCGGTTAACCCTCAGTGTCGTCGTCACCGCGCTGTGGTACACCACAACAGCAACCATCCATCGGATGGCTAAGCCTAAATGTCCGACAAAACTAGATCATACGGATCAAAATCTGACCATCAAAATTTGCACTGAAATTCAAAAGGCCGAATGTCCACACCCAAAGACCCCACTCGCCCGAGTGTTGGGACAAAACTGATAACGATATGCCTGATTCAGGATGTGAAATTCTGCCAAGCAAATGTACCTATCTGTGTGGTCACAAAAGTCCAAAACCAACGGGCTGCTCCCCGCTGACTTCCAGAGGGCGCAGCCCCTGTCGAGCGGGAGGCCTGATACGGTTGTGAGGTTAAGCAGGCATGTGCAGGACGTGACGATTCCTTGGGTGAGCCCAGAACCAGAGCGCCATGTGCCGGCTCTGCATGCATGGAAGCCTCCTTGGATGGCGGGGAATGCCCATGATCTGCCCCTGCCTTCCCTTGAGGGCCAACTGTTCCACAGGGGGTTGCCCCAAAGGGGTACTCCAGGGGCAATACCTGCGGCAAAGGAGACAAGGCGGACACCACACAAATCAGGCAGTCTCGACCCACACAAAACAATGGCCACAGTCACCCTAGAAATAGGCCTGACGTCTTCCTTCGAAGTCGGCGTACAGCTGCCCAAGAGGCAGGGAAATAAAAAACGGTTGTACACGCAAAAATCAGGTCCAGGTGAAGGCCAAAAGTCCAAGCGGACGATTAACCGGGACCTTCCACTGGAATTCACAGCCGGTGTTCGATGAAAAAAAAAAAAAAAAAATTTTTGACAATCCAGTTCATGTATTATATTTAATTAATTAGGCAACTTCGTTTTTGTTAGTCGTAATATAAAATTGTAGATGGATTTTGTGAAGATAATTCATTAACCTTTTGTGTCTACCAAATTATATGACAAATTATTTTTTTTAGTGTATGATTTATTGCATGCATTTCATTTAAAAAAAAAAAGGTTTTTTATATCAAAAGGTAAAATAATAAATAAATCACAAGTGACCAATGACTAATCGTTCTATTGCACACAACAAATCTTGTATTATTTTCAAAAATTACAGTAAACTAGCTCTGTTTCCATTTATGCATCATCGGTACTCATGTTAAACCTCCCTAACACAATAGGGAACTCACAGATTAATTCCCCTGCAACTTTTGTTACTATATTTCCACATAGTTAAAACCAATAATTATCAGTTAAAGTAGTTCCTGGAATATTTTGCACGCAATCGCAATGTCGCCCACAAAGCTTGTGTCTACAACATTTGAATCCGAAAGCTAATCAGGAATTGGTTTTAAAATCGAAGCCAACGTTTTTGACTAGACAAACAAAATTGACTTTAATAAAAGCTTATGAAATGTTTCCTAACGATCTTCGTCACTGGACAGTGGGCGTATCCATAAGTGATTCAAACCTTTCCCAGTCATGTTTCTTTGTTTGCTTTACCAAATAGCAAAAATACTAACAAAGGGATCATATATGAACCACACACACACACACACACACACAAAAAACAGATAGATATTTATATTAAGCAGGATTATGTTACAGATGATCGACACTGTTACGGAATTTGTTCACTGTACCGATAATCTCCTTTAGTAATTTATTTGATGAGATTATATCACTTACGCGAGTAACTATGTCCAATCATCTACTGAATAAAAGCAATTCAAATGCCATGTCTTAAAGGCTTACCCTTGAAAGCTGGGTGTGGCATGCGATGGTGAGGTAGGTATGAACGTGACGTCATCAAAGTATCAAAGTTGGACTTGAAACGAGACCTAGGAAGGTAAAAAGTAATGAATGATACTTCACACTGGTTGTAATTGTAAGGTACAGGTCTGGAGAGCATTGTAGTAGTAGTAATGGTAGTAGTAGTAGTAGTAGCAGCAGCAGTATTAGTAGTAGTTGTAGTAAGGATATTAGTAAAAACAATATGCTGAATGACAAATGAATATAATGCAATCAATCCACAGAACTGTAACTAGGATCTCAAACACTAACAGTCGAACATTTCAAAAGGAACATTTATCAACGAAAATCACAACAGTAAGCCGGAAAGTACCCCTTATTTTTTTTTAAACAAATACGTTTTATGTTAGACAAAATATGAAATATATAAACACATTTTTAAAGTATGAACTGCTATACATGGCTGGGAGGCCGATTATAATTTATCTTACAAATGTTGTGCTGGGGAAAGGACACCACAAGTTCCACGGCCCTAGGCTTTTGCCTTTATCTATGTTAATGATGGCACCATAGATTATGACATTAAATGTCTTCTCGGATTTTTTCTGAGAGACCAGGAACCCTTCCTTACATCCGGCTGGTGTAGGCGTTAGTAACATAAACTAAAGGACCCTCTTCCGCACCTTTAGGCGTATTGGGCATAAAGGGCTAGACCTATATTTTATAGATCATTCGGCACTTAGTGGGTGATGTGGTCAGCATCACTTCGACCGCCTTTACTTTCCATGACGTTTCCTGGTACCCACTCAAGGCTGAGTTGATCTGGGAGCCAAGGCTAGTTTTGAAAAAAAAAAAAAGTCTAGCTCCGTCAGAACCCGAACCATGAGAAGGCTGAGACACTGTTATTTCTGTGAAGACTATATCTGTAGTCCCCATTCATTCATTCATTCATTCATTCATTCATTCATTCATTCATTCATTCATTCATTCATTCATTCATTCATTCATTCATTCATTCATTCAATGACCTGTTGTGCCATTATGTATCACATAAGGCTGACATACTTAATTCACTACTATCCTATGCATTCAGTTCCATATCATAGATGGAATCCAGACAAGAAGCTTTCTCTTCTCACATAAATGTTTGTCTTAGAGTTTTCTTTGGCAGTCCCCGCCTCCTTAACCAATTTATGTCCTATTTTAATGCCTGTTTAGTAAAATTTCTGCTGGTTTTTTTTTTCTCAAGAGTAGGCTCTGTGGCTAAGTCGATGCGAACGCTTCGCAATGCCGGGATGCCGGGTTCGATCCCAGCTGCTGGCCATGCGCCTTTCTTTGGTTTCGACAGTGGTCTCAAGAAAGCCGACCGTCCAGGAAGCAATGGCAAACTACTGGAGGTAAATTTGCCTAGAAAAACCACACAACAGCCAGGCGCTGTTGGGGTTGGTTCTGCAACGTCCTGTAAAGGATACACAACTAACCTTTTCTTCTCAGGATATACCCATTTTAGCGCCATCTTCTCAGTCTTATAACTGTTGATATTAGTGGTTGCTGAGACATTTCTCTAATTTCTTCACCTCTTTTGAATGCATCCCCTTTTATGTTCATCGTTTTTCTCAGGCATTGTTTTACCAATGCATTTAACTTTCGTTCCATGTCTTTAGTGACTCTTCAACTGTCACTCGCATATCTTGAAACATAAACAGCATTAGAAATGAAAGTGAGTATCTCTGTTGGAAAACTATACAGCGTAGAGTTCCATATCTTGAAACATAAACAGCATTAGAAATGAAAGTGAATAACTTTGTTGGAAAACTATACAGCGTAGAGTTCCATATCTTGAAACATAAACAGCATTAGAAATGAAAGTGAGTATCTCTGTTGGAAAACTATACAGCGTAGAGTTCCATATCTTGAAACATAAACAGCATTAGAAATGAAAGTGAGTATCTCTGTTGGAAAACTATACAGCGTAGAGTTCCATATCTTGAAAAACATAAACAGCATTAGAAATGAAAGTGAGTATCTCTGTTGGAAAACTATACAGCGTAGAGTTCCATATCTTGAAACATAAACAGCATTAGAAATGAAAGTGAGTATCTCTGTTGGAAAACTATACAGCGTAGAGTTCCATATCTTGAAACATAAACAGCATTAGAAATGAAAGTGAGTATCTCTGTTTGGAAAACTATACAGCGTAGAGTTCCATATATTGAAACATAAACAGCATTAGAAATGAAAGTGAGTATCTCTGTTGGAAAACTATACAGCGTAGAGTTCCATATCTTGAAACATAAACAGCATTAGAAATGAAAGTGAGTATCTCTGTTGGAAAACTATACAGCGTAGAGTTCCATATCTTGAAACATAAACAGCATTAGAAATGAAAGTGAGTATCTCTGTTGGAAAACTATACAGCGTAGAGTTCCATATCTTGAAACATAAACAGCATTAGAAATGAAAGTGAGTAACTCTGTTGGAAAACTATACAGCGTAGAGTTCCATATCTTGTTGAAGTTATCACCTTGAAGTTCAAATATTTTGATTTTTACTAGATCTTTGGACAAAGAAGACAAGTTTAAAAAAAAATCTTTTTCAACTGTTCGAGAGAAATCCCCGTACGGGTTTCAGGGCCCTATTGTGTGTGTGTGTGTGGGGTGGGGGAGGGGGGGGGGGGGGGGGAGAGGGGCAGTAAAACAGATGTACTCGCAAAACTCAGGCCCTGGCAAAATACCAAAGTCTAAATGGACAAACAACTAGGACTTTTCTTTCAAACTCACAGCCGGTGAACAAATAAGAAGTGTTTAAGAGAAGGACCTTTTCATCTGCGAATTCAAGTTCCTCAATTATGATAGTAATGGACAATATATTGGCGTCTGCGACTTAGTTGTTACTTTACTACTGATATTTATTAACCCGTATAACTTTATAGTCGGCTCTGTAGCTACGTCGATGCGAACGTTCCTTAATGCCGGAAAGCCGGGTTCGATCCGAGTTGCGGGCCATGCGCCTTGCGTTGGTTTCGACAGTGGTATCAAGAAAGCAGACCGTCCAGAAAGCAATGGCAAACTACTGGATGTGAATTTGCCTAGAAAAACCACACAACAGCTAGGGGCTGTTTGGGTTGGTTCTGCAACGTCCTGTAAAGGATACGCAGCAACCTATGCCTTTATAACGTCGAGAATTGTGAAACGCGGTTACTAATCACTCAGCTCCCATAGCCGAACATGCTAGACATGATAGAGAGCTTTGCTTGACCAGCTGAAAATAACAAACACCCTAGACAACTACAGTTAAAGGAAGTAAATATTACAAATGACTGGAACTTAATGAGGTAAACAGTACATCAATCTCTTAATGTCGCTTTCGATATAAAAGGCATTCACAGGCGATGTCTTTTGCTGCTAAGTTTGAAGGTTAAATTCGAGAGGATCGACTTAATTGCGCTAGCTTTTCATCCCATATGACTCGGTCTCTCTCCGCAGAAGCCGTCTGCCGAAAGAATAACACAGAGTACAAACTTCCCAACTCCGGCGACGATTTCCAGCAATCTCCGTGAAAATTACACCCGTGAACTGAATGTCGCAGCCTTGAAACAAACCCACGAGCTTCACATCGCGAGGCAAACGGCTTGACCACTTTCCCAGAGAGACTACCTGCTGCTTTTCTCCCACGGTATCCAGTCTCATTTTATCTTCCTTTCTACTGTCCATCTCAAGGTTTCCTTTTCATTAGGTCACCCCTGTCTCTTTTCCTCTATATCTATCGTCCACCGAAGAGATCTTTTTGTAAGTGTGTCACGGGGCATTCTGCAAACAAGTCATCTACATCTTCTTCCTTTCATAGGGTTTGTCAATAATTAGTATTTTGTTCTCCTCTTCAGTACTTTCTCCGTGATCTTGTTTTTGCCTAAATATTTGCAGGATTTTTCTTAAACATTCATTTTATAAAGTCTGTAGTTTATATTCAATACTTTCTGCCAATAAACTGTATATACGTACCCATCAATGCCGGAGAAGAGGCTAGGTCTTCCGATTGAAGCGGCTAGAAGACTGTGTGTAAACGGAAGAGCACTCCGTCCCATCTTGCTCATCAAGCCAAAGTCTGGTGGGAACATCAATGGAGGCATTATCCCCAGCATGCTCTTGATTAAAGCCGGATCGTTACCAAAGGCCATACCTGCTCCAAAGGTCAAGGCCGAGGACGCCGGAAACGCTGACAATTCGTTGGTTAGGCTGTTTCTGGCATCAAGTCCTAATGTGGTGGATGAAGATGTTAATGAAAGAGGCGATGATGAAGAGGTTGGCGTTGGTGGCTTGCTGTTGTCGTGTCTGGAAGCGATTGAAGACGATCCTGAATTGTTGAGGATCAACCCCGGAGAACCATGAGCTGGGTTTAACAGAAGATCGGGTCTGAATGGAGTGTTTCTGGAGAAACTGAACAAATTCGGTTCTGTTTTGGCCATGTAGAGACCCGATGGAAATGAGTCGTGGGAATGGCGAAAAGGAAAGACTGTTGGCTTCCTGTATCGAATATTGTTATTATCATCATCGTCTAGATGTCTGTTCTCATGTAAGTTGTTATCTAAACGATCGTCTGTACCTTCTTCTCTTTTTGAAGCCGACAGGTCTGAATTTCTCTGTTGTGCCATATTTTTCAGGAGTGTAAAATGTATTCTCTCTTTGACCGAATATTCATCGTCAGTTTCTGCGCGATCCACGCAAATATCTTCATCGCATTCGTTATCGGATAGATTGTCTTTGCCACATCTCAGAAAGTCGCTTTCATTATCACTACTGTGTCTGTCTCCATGCTCACGCGTAGTTTTCTCATCTCCATTGTCTTTGTCCGAAGAGCTTGTGAAGAACGACTTCTGTTCATCCTTGTCTGCGTCTTCTGGCAGGCCGACAGACAGCCTCCTCCTCCCATTATCGCCACCGTCATCGTCGTTATCTATCTGGACATGCAGACGTTCGATGGGCGACGAAACCGAGTCTCGACCTCCGACATCAGGCAAGGAGCCGTCTTCGCTAACATCTTTTACGTTCGGGTCAACATTATCACCGCTGACGTCAATGGAGGCTGTAGTGATGCTGGGATTCTGTCCATGTTGCTGGGAGAAGCGTTCACTTTTGCGCCATTTGGCTCTGCGGTTCTGAAACCAGACCTGGAAACAAGGAAAACTGCACTGTAGTTTACTAATAACACAATAAACAACATAATCAATCATTTAGTCCACAAGTAATCCATTCAACTATTCAGCTATGGAATTTTGTCTTCTTCTTCTTGCCATTCTCCCTGTCAGGGTTATGTGCCTCTCTGAAGGCGGACACGAAACTCATGTCATCCACTGATTTGTACAACAAATAAATCTTCGAAGTACGTCATCAAGCAAATAATCAGTCTAACAGAAGATCGATCAGCCTACCAACCAACCAGCTAACCATTGAGTCAAACAGTCAACACATCAATCGATCAGTAAACCAGTTAAAGCAATCACATGCTGTCTCCGTAATGAAGCCTGACGGGACTAGTTCCCAACATGTCCTTTGGTCTGGTTGTTCACGTGGACACTGTGTTCCTCATTAAATATAAGAGGACATAAGTCGCATCCCAGCCTTTATAGAGGCCGGTGGTCTTCTCATCCGAGAGCCGCTAAAACAGATTTAAAAACAGACGAAATAGGAAGATCAGGGTATGTTGTTAATTTGTTTAATACAACAAGCGCACTGACATCGAAAAAAACATTGCGACGAAAAAAAGGAAGGAGATCGGTGGGTGGGAGAGGGGGGGGGGTGGGGTGGGATGTTGGGAAATGCCCCTTTTCCCGTCTTTCTAATTCTGACTAGCTTGCCTTTTATCTTTGCCTTTAAGTTGTTCACTTTGCATGAATATCGTATATTTTAATGTGCCCAAAATACACAATTCATATGTTTGATTGAACCTTGAATGTTGTTGAATGTTGAATTAGGAAACGACATCACAGCACTCGGGACACTCCCATAAGCGCTCCGTCCCCATCTTCAGCTGCAAGCGAAGACATCTAATGCCGATGGCAGCAGTAGCCTTTTCCTTGAGTGCTGAGCGTCGGTCAGATCCCCTGGTCACCCCTGGCTGCGCCATTCCTCTCAGACCCTAATGATCACATATGTCATCAAAGTGGAACAAAGCGTCGGTGGAGAAGAACATTGACAACTCAACGGCCGGTGCCATTAACAAAACATTTCTTATATTTGTTTTATTAACGCTTTGAAAGTGGGGATGGCATTTACATCTGTCTCACTCAACTGTCATCTAAGTGGGTTTGACGAATATACCCAGCACACCCATTTAAGAGGTTAATCTATTTGTAAATGTTACCTAACAATAAATTAAAAAGACCACTATTAATAGTGAAATTCATTAAAAAAATTTGTGCAACAAGTGATACAGAGAATATAAGAAGTCTTTGTTATTTTGTTTACACAGTCAAAAGTCATCATATACTTTGGGAACCCCCATTTATTTTCTCCTTTCTTATATACTTTAACATAAAAATACGAAATATTTATGACGCTTAGAAAAAAACAAAAACATAACAATGCTGAACACCCATAAAACACTATGAGATATTTATTGACTCCAGCATAAAACTACGAAATATTTATGACTCCTCTAGAAAAACTAATAACCGCTGAACTGATAGACTACTGTAATATTTGCTGACGCCCACAGACAAATACCTAACAATGACTGAGCCCATAAAGAGAACTATAAATAATTATAACCTAATTGAATTGGATAAAACGTTAATATCAGTCACAACACAATGGCTGATAAATTTTTTCTGGCAAATCTCATAAATTCTTTAGCCTGATTTCCCCCTTTTTGTAGACCAAATATTAACAGTGCTTCTACTTGCTTACGAAATATGCAGCCATCCAGAAAAAAAGCGGCCGTGGCGCTCCAGCGGAAAGGCAAACCAACGTTGGTCTCACAGCCTTGTCTGGCAAATGCTGGCTGGCTAATTAATCGAGTTTGCTTCGTTCCTTTTTTTTTTCTCCCAGCTACCGACTTTGAATGTTGACAAAAAGTATTTCGGCTTACACATTAGGGAGTTGATGTCCGCTTGGTGGATGTAAGGCTCTAGGGGATGGCATGTTTGTAGTGGCGTTACAGGAGTGAATATTCACATGAATTATGGTTTTATATCCTTTTGAGTTTGTTTTCATGCCATCACAAACAAAATGACGATAATGTTGATGATTAATAAGATGAAAATCGGTAGTAATGAAGGATGCACGGAGGCCGATTTTTTCCTGGCGTTTCTTGGTTGGCATAGAAAATAAACAAATGCTTTTCACGAGTGCCTATAATGAGTTATTATTCTCAGTCGCAGACGTGTCACTTCAACCTTGTAGCTTGCCTAGTTACATTTTACACCCTGCCCACATTTTTGGACACTTTCTCTTGTGAATTTCTTTCTATTCCAGTGTCTTGTGTTTAAATTTCGTATTTAAATAATGAGGCACAAGATTTACCAGTATATATATATATATATATATATATATATATATATATATATATATATATATATATATATACAATTTATTTGCCTGGCATATTTCTCCGCATCTTGTCAGGTGCATTACTATAAATGTTCGCCAAGAAAGCAGAAATTATGTATCATTTTAACTAAATATACGGATAATAGTTTATCTTGTTACAAAGTGGATACCGCCACGCCTTTATTTCCTATGACATTATCTAGTACCCTGTTAGGCTCGGTCTACGTGGGAGCTAAGGTAAATTTGAAATTTGAAGAGAAAAAAAAATATATCCTCCTCGTTAGCGATTTGAAACCAAATTCCTCAAGTGGGTTTTTTAGGAGATCCTTTTTTGAGAGCAGACCCACTGCCCCTAGAAACCATGTCGTAGAAGCAACTGATTAGGAGTGTTTCATTCAGTGTCGGGGTGCAATTGCCTGAAAAGCAAAGAACCAACAGTTTGCAAACAAATAAACAAGATCTGTAAAACGGACGAGCTTGCAAAACTCAATTTGGATCACGACCGACGTCCAGGAGTGGACGAACAACCAGAACTTGCTTCCGGAGTTTACAGCCAGTGAACGCCAAGACAGAGAGAGAGAAAGAGTGTGTGTGTGAGTGAGAGAGAGAGAGAGAGAGAGAGAGAGAGAGAGAGAGAGAGAGAGAGAGAGAGAGAGAGAGAGAGAGAGAGAGAGAGAGAGAGAGAGAGAGAGAGCCCTAACGGGATATGTAGAACCAATACTGGAATTAACTTTGACTGTGTACCTGCAACAAGTTCCTGATTTGACACAACGCATACCGCTAAGTAGGTAAGCCATTTGCCTCTCCGAAACCATCGTATATTTGTTTCCTTAACAGTACCGTTCGGTTTACGATTGCAGTTTCTTTATAAACCCTGGGTATAGAAAATGGTTTGGGCGTTGATTGTTCGTAAATTAAAGTCAAAATATCTGGTGAAATCACTTCTAGGTTATTACAGGTAATCACAACTAGGCGACTTCATGTAATCGCAATTCCAACCTTACAGAAAAAACGGATCACCTCCTGATTGCTCTGTTCCTGTGCTAACAGACACCGTACAGAATGTCTATCACTGCTAATTGTAAGGAAAAACATTAAAAAAATAAAGCTGACACAGACTTCAGTCTTAGCTAATCCAAAAACATGTACGCGCATTAAATGGTGAAAGCAGCCGTCAGAAGTGCTAACAAAACCTGTCCGACACCAGCAATACAGTACTCCATCAATGGAAGCAGCGGTTACAAAAGATCAGTGTAATTAATCGTATAAGACACAACACATTTTCTACCATCAAGCGACTCGTCATTTTCTGAATGCAGTTTCCAACACAAACAGTACCGGGCACAGTCAAAAAAGCATTCCAAATGAAATCCACAGCTCACAGTGTCACGCCAAGTATTTATCGGGAATGCTGTTTAAAGGTGACGATTTTTTCCCCCAGCAAAAGTATCTATCTATCAACGAATGCTTCATCGAAAAGACTTTGCTTCACAATCAGGACTTTTTCCCTAGAAAAAATAGGTGCCGGTACTCACCGCACAATGTATAAAAGAAAAGTGCCGGTATTCACTCCACAGTTTTTATTACAATAGCGCTGAAAACAAATGTAATTTAAATAAGGGTGCCCCTACTGTGCATCGTTGCGAGTGTCGGAAAGAAAGAAAGAAAGAAAGAAAGAAAGAAAGAAAGAAAGAAAGAAAGAAAGAAAGAAAGAAAGAAAGAAAAAACACCCAATTGGTAAGATTTTGGACTGCTCCATATAACACTCGTCTAGAGCCGCCTCTGAGAAACGCCAAGCCCCTTATACGGACAATCGATCTCATTAGCTTGAGGCCTTAATCGGCAAACAAGGAGAGGAAGGCAGATCGGATGGTCTCATATCCGCGCCTGTCATGGAACATTTTATTGACAGCACTCGATGCGAACTCATCGCCACCGCACGAATAGTGTAGTAGTTCAGGGGAAGTAACGCGGAAACAAAATGGCGGGGAAGAAACGGTAAACTTCTGTGTTCAAGCGAAGTTGAAACAGGGGCGCTGGAGCCTACGGGCAGGTTGAGCCAACCCTACCCCCTTAAAATGGAGGGTGGCTTGGGGTTACAACCCCCCCCCCCCCATTAATTTTGAGGCTAAGCTTTCCTAGTACTTTATTTTTAGTTCACCCAAAACAAAGGAAGAACTGGAGTTCAAAGGAGAGTGCAATATTCTAGGGGTGTTATAAGTTGGGGTTACGCTTAGGATTAGGGGTTAAGGGTTAGGGGTAGGGTTAGTAGGAGTCTCTGAAGCGGTCGGGGCTGACACAGATTCTAACGCGTACCCTAACCACAACCCCTAACACCCCTAGATATTGGACTTTCCCGCAAACTCGGGGATTTCGTTTGCTTGGGTGAATTAAAAATAAAGTACCGCAGTTCCCTTTAACCATGCATAGCAGTTCTTTTTATAAGTATATCAGTGTTAAGTTAGTTGTGCATCCTTTACAGGACGTTGCAGAACCAACCCTAACAGCCCCTGGCTGTTGTGTGGTTTCTCTAGGCAATTTACATCCTGTAGTTTGCCATTGCTTTCTGGACGTTCGGCTTTCTTGATACCACTGTCGAAACCAACGCAAGGCGCATTGC